CCAGTCTGTCCACCCTGCAAGAATGTAAAAAACAAGGAAAGGCATCTGTCTAGGAGTGTGTCTGTAACATTGCTTTGACACGCTCTGACAATCTCCAGTCGAGAACTCTGGACACAACCACTGGAGTCAGATTATTTCATGTTTTTGAAAGAAGTCTTATATGATCACCAAATCTAAATTTATTTAATAAAAAATACAGTAAAAACAATAATAATGTGAAATATTATTTCAACTTACAATAACTGTTTTCTATTGTAATATATTTTAAAATGTAATTTATTCCTGTGATGGAAAAGCGGAAATTACAGAATGCTATGATAAATATAATGTTCAAAAGAACAGTATTTTTTTTAATCTATATATTTTTTTTTACATTATACATTTTACATTATTTACATTATAAATTTATTTAGTGTCACTTTTGATCAATTTAATGTGCCCTTTCTGAAGAAAAGCATTAAACTTTTTGAACAGTAGTGAGCAAAAATGTGAATGCTGTAGTACTTTTTTTCTGATCATTTAATATTTTTGTTAAAAGCAAATTACTATTAAGATGCTTCTGATATAAATTCAGATTTTAAGAACCGACAAATTTTCAGTTCACTGGTGTAAACAAAGCACAAGAAGATCAATGATGTCTGGCTATAATGTGATTGGCAATGCATGGCAAATATATTAATGTGTAGAGCAGGAAAAAAAGACAATCCCAGGGGTCATTGACCGCTTGTGCTAATGTACATCTATACCTTTATCTGTACAGAGCACATTCTGATCTGTGCCAAATCAAACAAGTCTCCCCCACCTCCTCATACACATAAAAAGAGAACTGTTCAAGGTCTCCACCTGTACTGCCATTCACTCTCATGCTGAAGGAAAAGGGTCTGCCTAAAAACACTGAATCAGGTTGCAGTGCCTCAGGCTTGTATTGCTCCTACTAAATATGGGCCAATTCTTAAATTTTCAATATGTCTTCTAAAATACTGAACCGACAAAAGCGCCCACTCTCAAATTCTGCTAGCTATTATAACCATGCCCCATTGTCCACACCCTGAAACACACATTGACACACAAACAGGCACACACCCTCATACAGACACTCTAATTTCCACAACAAATGAAAGGGGACATCTTGCAGAGAAACTCTCTCACACATTCACACACATACAGTATACTGTTTTTATCAGTATAAAGGATATTGAGTCTTGAATGGATTTTCACATCAGAGCTCTTCAATCAAATGAAAAACGTCATGGTAAACGTGACGTCTGAAGTGCATAAATAAACAAAAGACATTCACTGCGTTCACTGAAGTCAAACAGGCTACGTGGGATGAAACTAAACCTGACTATACAAAACAAGAGTTAACAGATTAGTTGGGTTGAATCTCTCATTTCAAGACAATCATAGAGGGCCATAAAAGTCTATTATATAGGCATACATCCATTGGATTTATGAACACTATCAGATTTCCACTACCCTTTTGAAGTTCTTAGCAGTTGGGATGGTTGTCATTCGATTAAGAAATGCCATCCTTCAAACACATCTCAGTTGTTTGAAAAAGTAGGCTGAGTAAAGCATATGACCCAAAGTCCTCAGAGAGACTTTTGTAGAAGATGACAAAATGTCGGTTCAAAGCAAAATTGCACAGCACCCTAAGTATTCAACATGTACAGAAAACTTGTTCACTATATTTGAAGTAATTTACATTAGAATTTTACAATTTGAATTCCACGTTGTATCACATGAACGCCTAGTAACTTTTAAACATACTGTATGTGTCTTTGGTGTTCCCATTTTTCTTCTCATTCCATTTACTTTCAGTGGTTCATTTCAGGTGATCTGCTGTTGTTTCTCTTTCCTTGAATGGATTTTATTTGTATGTTGGATAATACAAGGCAATAAGATACTCAGAAACAGGTAAAAGAACAAAAGAAAAGGCGTAGCCCTTGCCCCCCTCACTCCAGTGCCTTGCTTTTCACCAGAGACAGCAAATCCCCTCAGAAAAACAGAGTTAGGTAACCGCACGGCACACCTGCAGTGAACACAGAAGAGAAAACTTGAAAGCTACAGTGTTTGAATGGCTGGGCTTAAAAGACGTCCTACACCAACTGCCATAATATGTAAAGCAATATGGCCATGATTCCTAAAACTTTCATCTGTAATTGTTTAGAATTGACCTCTTCCATCGATTCTGTCATCAGTTTTGAGTTTATTTTAATGACCGTTAAAAAAAAAACCTCCAGGTTGTTACCTTGTATGCTTCATTAAGGGAATGTCTCATCTATCTATGATGAAAGCCAAGCCAGCATAAACAGAACAGAAGGGAAACACTCACGCAACCCTTTGACCCTTCAGTGTGTCCACATGTTGGACATTGAGATTATCTGTGGTAATGCATTTAGCTTGGAATTTCTTGCCACCTAGTGGACAAAAAGGCAACTCACTGCAAAGTAAATGCAAATATGGAGTCAGGAGTGTACAGACTATGAAGCTACTATATAAATGATTTGATCTTCATAGAAGTATTGCAGAGATAACCGAATAACTGGGGATGAATTTAACTGAATTTGGACTGTGTTGGACCACGGCTACATCTGCTTAATGTCCTTAATGCAAAATTTCATTCATACAATATTTCACTGTATATTTACAATGCCTTTTTCATTCTTAGTGGTTTCATTTATTGTTTTGTTTTTTTAGCTGCATGTTTAGGGCAGTGTCTATGATAAAATGACTGAATTGATTGTGTTTACTTTTCCACTCCTTTTCCCCACCCTTTGCTACTTATCTTCTATACGTTTGTTGACATGCAGTTAATAATCCCACATTACATTTACAAGTGTATCCTTTCATTGCTCTCTATTACTACCAACATGTGACATTAGCATCTTGATAGCAGTGAACATACAGCGTTGCTGGTAAATAATGATAATAGTAAGATTATCCTGATTCTCCTTCATTGAAACATTAGTCTAGTATTTAGGTCTAGTATATATTTATTAAAAAAAATGCATATTACAGTTTTTCTTGATTGCTAGCACAAAATATCATAAAATAATTCACCATTTTCTCACAATTATAAACACAATCTCAAAACTACAAACCAACTTGTACAAACCTCAAACTTCGCCAAATATTTTAATCAAAAGCATATTCTCTTTTGTCATAATCAAACATTAGCTTCATTTGACACACAAAACCTATTACAGACTACTACACTGCCTAAAGAATACTGGATCAATTAAAATCTGCTGTATTAAGTTATCTCATTGAGTATAAACACTAAACTGTGCAACTGCCTTTGTTACAAATCACAGCTGTTGAGTGTTGAGGCGACATTACAGCTCTATTGCAAAACCTAGTTATTGTGTCAGTTAATTGGCCAATGCCACCAAAATGAATTATATAATTCTGTACATTTTATGTGTCAGGGCCCTACATGTAAGCCGAAAACATTACATTATGGAATATAGGCTACGTGTGTCTGACAGATTTTGATGGATGATTTTGCATGTAATGGTTCACATGAAGAAAGAATGTTTCGAAGCTATGAAAAGCAATGACAATTTGACTGAGAATCAGCTCACCAGTTTTGAGCAAATCATGTGCATTTCGTTATTGTTTAAATTGAAGACAATTGTATTTACTCTTTTGCACAATACATGTGTGATTTGCTTAAATTAACAAGAAAGTCAAATCTGGAGTGAACAAGAAACTAATTGTTCAGAGATTTGAACCTATTGTTTTGAGATAAAAAATAAATAAATCGAAAAGCCAAAGTAACTGAGACAAACTGTGACAGTTCTATTCAGAATAGGATTGTACAGATTTTATTTAAGAGCAGGCATCATAAAACTGTAGTTGGGAAAAAAGGTCTATCTATCTATCTATCTATCTATCTATCTATCTATCTATCTATCTATCTATTGCTGAGTGGGGCACTCAGTAAGTCATTGATAGAACAGAGAGAACCTTGCAATGAAATGTAAAACATCACTATAGTCGAGCTTTTAAATTAGTAGACCTAATTGAACATATTATGTTCAATATTTAAATAAAACCCACCAGATAGGCTACATTATCCCGCAATCACCAGCAGAGGACACAATTGGCCTATTTCTCTCTTCGATTTGTTGACAACAGACATCTTTCTGGCTATCTGTCTTTTTGCCTGTCTGTCCCATATCCTGAATATTATTTGAAAGGTTATTGTGTTTTAAATTTGAACATGGGAAGAGTAAGTGCCTCTTAAAAACCTCAAATGGCATTTCAGTAATACATAAACTCATATTTACAAGTGCTTAATTTTACGTTTTCACCTAATTTTCATTCAGACCACATGGCATTACTTCAAAGTAGCCTATATTATTTATTTATTAATTTTCAGTTATTAGTTTAGGTCTTAGATTAGGGTCTTGGTTCTCTGTTTATTGTTACATTAAATGGATAGTTCACCTAAAAATAATACAAGTTGTCAAGTTGTCTCAAACCTGTATGAGTTTCTTTCTTCGGTTCAACACGAAAGAAGACATTCTGAAGAATAGGCCTAGTGGTAACCACACAGTTGACAAGTTGACTCATATGGTATGGAGGGGGAGGTGGGGGGGGGGGCTATCTGTTAATATAAATACTAACTGTTTGGTTACCAACATTTTTCAGAATATCTTCTTTTGCGTTCAGAAGAAAGAAACTCATACAGATTTGGATAGAACAACGTAAATGATGACAGAATTGTTGGGTGAACTATCCCTTTAAGGCTCAACACAAACCACACCAAAATGTTTAGCTATTTTGTATAAAGTTTGCATGACATTCTTTAGACACTGAGAGGTGCAGATGCGCTTGCTCAGTAGATGCCTATATGGACAGTCACCATTTCCATAGTTGGTAGCTTGTCACGTGACCTACCCTGCCAGTAGCGGTCTAATCTTTCCCTGGCAGACAGCAGGCGTTACTGGCAGATCACGTGACCAGCTGCCAGCCAGGCTCGAACTGTAGCCTGTACGCTCTGACGTGCTGCTTTGCGCTCCTCTCAATGCTGTTACATGCAGCTATTGTATCCACGGGATTTTAGTATTCGCTTTGCTTTACCTCCCATGTTTCCAGCGACGAAGGAATGAAGAGTCTTTCCAATAAACGGTAATATATATATCTATTCATTTATGGGAATATTTTATTATGAATTCGCTATCATGACATTCGATTCTGTTTATTCTTACTGCTCCTGAATGTTGCATACCATAACAGTGATATTATGCAAGATCCAATATAGCCACAGAAAGAACTGCAACGACACAGAGTGTCATTTTAAGTGATTCTCATTATAATAAATTATATGTATTATAATTATATTATAATTTTGCGGCTGGACTGAGGGCGATTTGAAATCCACCATATTCCACAACATCTCGGTTATTTATGTCTTGTCGCCTGTTTTAATTCAGTCGACTTAATTCAGAATGCACGTAAAGAACCAGTTAATGAAAACGCACGAGAGAAAGCACCAGAGCTCATTCACTTTCAGCGGATTTACATCGAAGCTGTTTACAAACATTCCCTCTTGATCACACCTCTGAAATGCGTCCTTCAGTCTGGTGCAGTTCAGGTGATTCGTTTATGGAATTATCATATTCCAGACACATCTCCGATGCTTTTCCTTTGTGTCTGCATTTCTAACATTCTCTTTATTCTTTCTTAATGGCCACATGCACATGCACATTTGCTTTAACTGATTTTGATTTGGTGCTTATATTATGGTTTCTTTATTCTTCTTTACTGTTTGGAGGTACACTCTTAAAAATAAAGGTGCTTCAAAAGGTTCTTCAAGCAATGCCATAGAAGAACCATTTTTAGTTCCACAAAGAACCATTCAGTCAAAGGTTCTTTAAAGAACCATCTCTTTCTTACCTTTTTGTAATCTGAAGAACCTTCTTTCGCCACAAGGAACCTTTTGTGAAACAGAAAGGTTCTTCAGATGTTCAAGGTTCTTTATGGAACCATTTAGACAAAAAGGTTCTTCTATGGCATCGTGAAGCACCTTTATTTTTAAGAGTGTATTAGAGAAGCACTCATTCATTATAGTGGAATATTCAGATTTTAGAGGAATATTCCTTTATAATGTAGAATATTATGAATAACGTCCTATTATTTGGAGGTACTAGAAGTGCACTCATTCGTTATTTCTCAGCCATGTCCTTAAAAATAACACACAAGAGCAGTATAAATTGCTATAATGTAGAAACTGTAGTAGGCTATTGGCTTAATCTGGTTATGCATTTACACACATAACACTTACATAATCAGAATCGGATGTGTTAATTACAATGAGATCAGGTGTTTTTAGAATATCCACCATAACTGAATGTTTATATTTGTGCAAATCAAAACAAGTAATTCTGGTCAATATTAGATAAAGACAGTGAGAACGAAGCCAAGCTACTGAGGAATACACAGTATGTGGTCACATTTTGCAATTTTGTTTATTTTTATGATTTGATGATTTGATTAAATAATATCCAAACTTAATAAAATACAGAGAAGTACTGTAAGAGACAATATCTCCAGTATTTCCATAAGAGAAAACATGGTCAGTCATCGTTTCTCTCTGTTTGTCATACACAAACATGCACACATATTTAGGAGTAAATCATGCTCCTTTTGCCTTTCCGCACACAGATGTTCAGTAGATGGAAGTAGGCCAATGACAGATCTGTGTGTAAGCTTTTGGGTGGGCTTCTTTATAGATGTATTTTACAGTCATTTTGCCCATATTCTGCTCATACTGGCCTATTTAATTTACAGTAACTGTAGGTGAGAGCAGAATAACTAAACAAACATTTCTGCTCTCAGCCTCAACTGCGACCTGTAAATTGTTGTATTGTCTTGTATTTAAAAATACTGCTGTACATTATCTTCCGTTGCTCTTTGTTGATGTCATAGGGATTAGTTATTTTTATGAATCTGTTGATGTATGTTTAGCAGTCTTTGTCCTGAAACATTAAAAACATACTTTTTTCAATCCGTTTACTGAGCCCAGACTATAAAAACCTGCTGCTGTATCACTGCATTGCTTAAAACCTTCACATATATTGCCTGTAAAGAATCGGTTCACCCAAAAATGAAAATTATGTCATTATTTGCTCACCCTCATTTCATTCCAAACACTTAAGACTTATTTTTCAACTTCGAAACACAAATTAAGATATTTTTTATGAAATTTTAATGAAAGACTTCTGTCCCTCCTTTGAAGTCCATTCCACCAAAACTTTGACGTTTCAGAAAGTTCATAAAGGCACCATAAAAGTAATCAATATGAATTGGGCGATTCATGTCTTTTGAAGAGATTCTATCATGTTATATGATGAACAGATTTAATTAATTCACAAATAAACATTGGTCAACACTCATACATGGAGCTCATCAAATATCGTCAGCACGGAAGCTCAACCGTACTCGATTGATACACGAGAACAAACCTTATTGGTTCTTATGGAAGCTCAAAAGTGGAATAGACTTTCAACTGAAGGACAGAAATCTCTCGAGTTTTGCTAAAAATATGTTCATTTTGTGTTTTGAAGAGGAACAATAGTCATACAAATTTGGAAGGACATGGTGGTGAGTAAATGAACATAGACGTTTTATAATAATATGTTTTTAAGCACCACATTTTTCTGCTGTTGAACAGTTCACTCTTGACTGTTAAGAATAATGGTAGTAATAATTTGTCATTAGGATGAGATAATCTACTCTGTTGTCAGACCTCATTAAACGAAACATTTCCTAAAGGCCTTTTTTTTCTTTTTCTTTTTTTGCAGTCGAGCTCTGTGGATAGACAAGCTTTAATTTTAAATGAAAACGAAATAAATAAATGGTTATTGCATAATAAGCTTTTTATCCACCACCATCACCCATAATTGTTATCCATATGGCCACAGCTTTATTATTTAGTGGCTGCCTCTTAAAGTGACATTAAAACACACTTTATTCACTGAGATTTATCTGAATAAGCTAGTTTAATCTAAAGTCTTTCTTTTATTAAGTTTTATTTTTGTCTTTTTCCCTCTAGTATTGAGAGCTATGGTAGAGAAGTGGGACAGGAAATGACAAGGGAGAACAGGTTGAAATTACTCTTCTCCCTGTTTCAAACTTTCAGCAGACTCGAACTTGCATCCTCTGAATGAGCAACATAGCTCAGAGCATTGGCTGCTAGGCCATGACTCTGAACACTCTTTAGTCTTTTTTAATTCACTAAAGTGATTACTTCGCTGATCTCACACAAGGGTTGGTGCTGAATAGTGCAGTGAATACTGTAGAAGCAAAGAGACAGTTACTGTATGTCACTGATATGCTTACTTTAGTAAAGCATGCTAGCAATGCCAAGGAGTCATGGGTTTGAAGCCAAGGGAAAACAAGATGTGTGTAAAATTAATGCAGTGGATGAAAAAAAAAAGCTTCTGCCAAATGCATCAGTATAAACGCGATTTGAATGAATGAATAAAAGATGCACCGCTCAACCGGCCAGGAACCGGAATTAGCCGATTTTCCGCATGATTTGCCTGGACTGGTGACCACCCGGTCAGTCTGCCGATTCTGAGCCGGTCCGTTTTGAAGTCACAGCTAAGCTCACATCCACATGTAAACATGTCATCAGCGTGGAAGTTCTTCACTGTAAGTGAAGAAGATACAAAGTTCACAATTAGTAATATGTGTAGGCCAAAATAAACTGTGGGGGAACCACAGGGCTCGATTAACACTTGTCTGGGACAAGTAGATTTGTTGTCTGGGACAACCAAAACAAATGAGCGCAACAGCACTCACAGAAAGTTATAGATGCATACTGCGGTAGAAATGTATTTTTTTTATAATAAATGATGTAGGTAAGCAACGTTACACGACCAAGAAGTTTCCCCGATTATCAACACGACTGCAATGTGACACTGATTTTGTACAATAGTAGTTCAATAAACAAGAAATTAAAATGAGACACTATATTGACTGTTTTTGCTCAGTTTCGCAAACGATAATAGTTCCAATCAAAGCCACAGCAGAACTGTTTGAACGAATCGAGTGAGTCAATGATTCAGTAACCCATTCATAAGGACTTGCTTCGTTTCTGAATGATCAGCCTTTTGAACGAATCGGTAGAATGAATGACTAAATGACTCACTCATTAAAACAGTCATTTGCTGCCACCTACTGGTGGTTTGGTTTCATATTTAAAAGTATCATTGCATTTTTCCCAACATTTTTATTTGTATGGTCAAAAATTATTTAAAACATTAATCTTATGCAATTATTTATGCATTTGCAATTTTGTGGTGTAAATGCATTTATGGCACCTTAGCTTCATCAAACAGTCTGTGTAAATACATCTAATGCCACACTTCAGATGTAGCTTCTGTGTTTCCTCTGCAGGGTTAAGATGGAGTTTGTTGATACTGATTTAATTTGAATGGTAACAAACAACTTTACCATTTCTTATTATTCTAACTGAATTAATTGAAACAATGTAAGAATTTGATGTGAAAGATGACGCATTTAATAAGGTTAGGGGGGAACATTACCATTTATAAACACAGTGGCAAATTATATCTGTTTTGTTATATACATAGGAATTAATTTTCAGTTATTTGTTATTTCTACCTCTTTCCAGTCACAGAGCACTTTATTTCGAGATTTATTTAAGTGAGAGAGCATCTGTAATTTAGTCCAGATTGGGGGAATTGTGATGTTTAATCATGTCTTTTATTATGTAAATAATTGATTTGCATTGGAAAAAAAGTAGATGTTTGTTTGAATATGCTGTTAATTATAGCTCTTAGAAAGAAAATCTTTAAGCAAAAATCAGTATCAGCAGGTCACTCTTACAAAAAAAATCGGAAATCGAAATCGGCCAAGAAAATTGCAATCGGTGCATCTCTACAATAAATCCTCCAGAGGCTGTAATAATTTACAAATGTAAGCTTTCCTCCAAAATATTCTGCGTAGTGCATTATTTTATAAGTTTACACATTATACAGGGCTGTATGTTAACTTTTTTGCGCATAGCACTGGTGCTACAGAGGTTGAAAGTTTTGTTGTACAGGCCACACAAATGTAGCCCTATGTGCAGACATCACTTAACTCTTTTATGAGCAAAC